TTGAAGTGTGCGAACAACTCCAAACGGATATAGCAAAGTTCCGAATGGAATTCACTCAAGTGAAGGATGTCTTTGGTGCCTTTGCGTTCAAATGTGAGGACCAATTCAAGTACTTCGCCTATATTACGGGAGCCAACCAGAGGACAAACCAGCAGGTCATAGACCAAAGACTCGAGGAGATTGGCGATGACATGGAAAACCTTGTCCAAATCGTTCCTCAGATTCTGCAGGAGATGCAATTCATGAATGATGCGGTGAAAAATGCCACAGGGGGTCGAATGGACACGCGATCTCGCCCGACACAGCGGATTCAAGCTTGGAAGAGTCCTTCTGAGGATAACTTCAAATTCCCCTAGTGCTCAATCAAATGAACTCTTAAGGGCTCACTGCAGTCTTACTTCACATGAATTTGAGTAATGGATGAAATAGGGACGGATATTGATAGAATGATGGAATTGAGATATATGGTGCATACTTTTAAGGGTCAGAAATGATTATAGACATTTTCTCCCATCTGCATATGAGAGGTTCATTACATGAAAGTAAAGTTGAACTAAGGATTGAAACAAACATTGAACTAAGTTTGAAACCGAGTATTATTTGAAGTGACTTATATCGTAGTGTTTCATGAATAATTTGATAGAGCATTTAACAAGAATTCAACGTCCATTTAATAAAGTATAATACTGGATTGTACACCCCGTTTGATACTCAGTTTAGTACTTCTACACCAGTAGATAATATCTATATTAAATAGAGTTGTAGAATATACAATTATGCTGCAGTACCATATCAAGTTTGAGTACCTCGGTTCCTTAAACACAGCAAAGAAACACCTGGGGAGACGAGGTAGTCTATTGTTGGTATCATTCAAAGCAATTAAGGTAAAATTATAATTTGTTAAAGTCATGATGCAGCCTCTTCAACGAGGTATTTCCGGCAGGCAGTCTTCAACATATTGATGCGCCTTTGGGTATGGATGAAAACTTCCCGGTACATGTCAAGACTCTGCTGCACAACCTCCTGTCGCGTTTTGGTACCCGAGCAGATCTCAAGCATCCGCAATTCCATCTCCTTGCGAAGAAACGGCTTACTGAGAGACACGCTATTCGGGAGGCCTGTGACAACGTTATCATAGCCCTCCACGAGGGCAATACCCAAACGGGTTGGAATAAGTTCTTGCACTGAGCTGCGGCCATTGCCTCGTTGATTTGTAGCGACGTATTCACGTTCTTTGATCTTGGCGATATGTTCTGCCATAGTAGCATCCGTACCAATTCCATTTGCATCCATCAAACCAATGAGCTCAGGTTCGGTCAGATAGTTCGGAGCCGTAGTCTTGCCTTCGAAGATGTTGGCTTCTGTGGGCTCAAAGAACTCGTCCCGCTCGAACTTTGGCAGCTGTTGGCTGCTCTCCCACTTGTCGTAAACATATACATCCAAGTAGTTTCTCTCCAATACCATCAGACCGTTGGCGTGGAACATTTCCTCGCCATATTGTATCTCAATTTCCGTGCTCTGGCCCTTGGCATCGTCAGAGCAACAGGCAAGGAACCGACGGACCACAAATTCGTATACCTTTTTTTCGTTGGCATTCAGTTGATTTGGTGAAACCCAGCTTACTGGGTGGATGGGTGGATGGGCCTTATCATTGTGTCGACCCCAGCGAGGAGTCCTGAATTTGCCATCGACGAGGCTGCGCGGTGTTGTTAGCCATAAACACAGAGAGAAACATAGTAAATACTTACTCCTTAGCGTATTGTCCCCATGAGCTGTCGGAATATTGCTTCTCAACCAGCTTCTTGAGGTCAATCGCTTTGTCAAACTGATCTGTTTCAGTCCTGGGATAGCTGATGTATCCCTTGGTGTAAAGCGCTTCCGCTACCTGTTAAGCCCGTCAGCGATCTAATTTTCAGCTTTGATGGTATCTGACATACCTTCATAATTGTCTGACTGTCCAACCGAAGGAATCGAGAGCCCATCATTTGTAGGTCAACAGTTGTCAAGGGTAGTGGCCGCCATTTGCTTGTTGGCTTCTGATTCACTTTTGTGACTTTGGCTTGTTTTGCAACCAGACAACGTTCTAGCATCATTGTCACAACTGCTCGGTCAAATAGATGCACACGCTTCCAGAGAAAATTGACCTTTTTCCCTTCACGGGAAATAATGACCTTGATTCCCCAAAACGTCTCTGGTTTGAAGTTTTGCACTCTCAAGTATCGGTCGACAACAAACCCCAAAGTAGGAAATTGACATGATCCTGTTAATGATTAGCGGTGCCAAAGTTAAAAATTTTTTTTTTTTTGGAACACAACTTACCGTAGCTGATAACCTTTTCTTTCAAGGCAGCAACTACTGTCTGTAATTGCAGGGTTTGGAGACGTGTGAATGCAGCACCAATTCGAAGATCAAGCTCGATTCTGGCAGCTACAGCATTTGCTTGGTACTCATCGAGGTCGACTGGTTGTAGAGCAGCCCGACGCACATGGCTATGGCGAGATCAGTATTGAGCTTGATGAAAACGTCAAAGTTCCGACTCACGCGCTTTCTGTGTTACTGAACTTGGCTCGCTTGATTTCAATGCGAGCATTGCCTGCCTTCGCCTGGTTACGGACTTCAGAACCGATGTGTTCGCCTTCACGATCACAATCAGTCCAAATGAACAGTGCCTTGGAGTACCTGGCTTGGTTGCGAATGTTTTCTGCGATTGGTAGCTTGTCCTACTGAAGGCGTTAGCACTGCTCAATTGGGACAACCAGGGATCTCCCACCTTGTCAACAGCCTCCTGCACAGGGGCCTCAAAAAGTGACCCTGGAGGACAGGAAAGCCAGCCTTTGTACTGGCGGTCAAAGTCCAAGCCAGTGAGGTGGCCCACCACACTGGTCATGGTGACCGAGCAGTTACCCCAGGCACCGCCGAAGTTGAAGTCAAACTCGTAGTTTTTCACATATTGATTCCCACGAATTGCATGCTATCCTTGATCTTAGCCTCTGCTGCCTTGAACTCTTGAGGAGACTTACCGTTTGGAATGAACCACCCGAAAGATGAGTGGCCACTGCGCGAGCAATGGCAGGCTTCTCTGCCACGCAGAGGATTTTGCGAGCCATGATGAGCCCGAAGGATCACATGAAGTTCATACTGCAAGAGTCCCGTCAACATCTTAGGAAAGACGCGCGTGGGCTGCCTGAGGCGACTCAAACTATGTAAGCAAAGCCGATTCGGAGCTAATCCCGATGAGGTAATCCAAACATTACTCTCCCCATCTTTCTCTTCTCTTGTTTGCTTTTGTTTCCAATATTCTTAGAATATTCTTAGGCATGGCATCTTTACCACTTCCCCGGGTGGAGTCCCTCGCGGACTACACTTCCTTTCGACTCACAGTTCTCCCCTACCTGGAACAGCTGCGATGGCTTCCCGACAGCTTGCGCGAAGCTGGCCGGGATGTGGATAATCTGAAAGCTGTCTACCTCGCCACCAACCCTCTGGTCTCCGCGGTTGCTTTCGGTGGAGTCCTTGCTGTTATTTTCTTCATTACCGCCGAGATCAACCGAAACTATTCGCAGGTGGACCGGTTTTGGAGCATTCTCCCCGCGTTGTACAACATGCATTTCGCCGTTTGGGCCCGTTTGTCGGGCATCCAGACGTCTTCTCTGGATACGATCGCCATCATCAGCGTGGTCTGGAGTGTAAGAAGGCTTTTCATCCTTGTATTGGTATGCGCTAACCCGAATCTTGCGATAGGCCCGCTTGACTTTCAACTACTGGCGCAAAGGAGGATACTCGATCGGCTCGGAGGATTACCGCTGGCAAATCGTGCGCTCCAGAGTGAACAACGGCTTCCTTTTCATGATCTTCAACTTCAGCTTCATTGCTGTGGCCCAGTCCCTGTTGCTTCTCCTCATTACCGCTCCCACCTACATCTTTGTCATTCTGGCGTACAACCAGGGCAACGAGACCTTCAGCCTTACCGACTTGGCCTTCTCCCGCGCCGTATTTTTCTTCATTGTCATTGAATTCTTCGCCGATCAGCAGCAGTGGAACTTCCAAACTGCTAAGAAGGAATACCAGACTAATGCGCGCATCCCCAGTGCCTACAAGGACCAGTTCAACGCTGAGGATCTTGAGCGTGGCTTTGTTGTCAGCGGTCTCTGGTCTTGGTCCCGGCACCCCAACTTTGTCGCCGAGCAAGCCGTTTGGGTGACTCTGTACGCGTGGTCTTGCTACAAGACTGAGACATACTTTCACTGGGCCGGTCTGGGTGTCTTAGGATACCTTGCCATTTTTCAGGGAAGCACCCGTCTTACTGAGACTATCAGCGCGGGCAAATACCCCGAGTACAGTGACTACCAGGCTCGCGTTGGTCGGTTCCTTCCTCGCTTTTCTGTCGAGGCGAAGAAGACTAAGCACGCCAGCAAGAAAGACAACTAGGTTGGATTTTGGATAACGTGCAAGTCGAAGACTGAGCGGAGCGTGTATATTGAAAGGCGGGTTCTGAGTTTAATTTTTACTTTTTCCTAAAACCATCACGTATGGTCTATTTGCTGAATACGATATCTTTTCAATCTGTTCAAATCCGACCAAGCTTTTTACAACAAACTCGCATGATGGAACACCATATCGACAGCCGGGCTAGCTTACAACTTGCGAATCGGACAAGATGCTACGGGGAAAGAAAAATATCCAAACTAAGACAGGCTTCAACAAAACTCCCTATTATACACTCAGTACTGTAGTACTTAATACCTATCTAGATGAACATGGAGATGGAGGGGTCAACAAACGAGAGAAAAAAAAGAGAAAAGATCATATTCAGCGCGATAGGGCGGTAGGAGGAAACGTGTTATGGGAGGATGGTAGAGAAAGAGAGAAGATGATGAGAGGGGAGACAAAAAGAGGATGCAATCCATAAATACAGAAAAAGAAGAGGCCACAGTGATATCATTCCTCCCAGAAACACGAAGCAAACCAAAGCACAGGTACGGAAACAACTCTCTCCCAATTTATGCAGGAGGGAGAGGAGTCTCGTCCCGGCCATCCTTACCAGAGGTTTGTTCGGGGCCCTGGTTGTCGGGGGGAGCAATGGTCGCACCACCCTTACCATCGAAATACTTGGAGAATTCACCAGACTCGGGGTAAGGGCGGGGGCCAAGGAGGCGGATAAGGTCGTCACGGCCAAGGACCTCCTTGGACAGGAGTTCCTCGGCAACGATGCCTACTTCAGCCTTCTTCTCGGTCAAGAGCTTGACGCACTGCTTGTATGCCTCGTCGACAATGCGGCGCACCTCGAGGTCGATTGTGCGGGCGGTGTCCTCGGAGAAGGGCTTGTGGAGCTGCTGCTGGGCGTCCTCCTCGTAGTAGATGTAGCCCAGCTTGGATGACATGCCGAACTTGGTCACCATGGCGGTGGCCATGCGAGTGACCTTGTTGAAGTCATCGCTGGCACCGCTGGTCACGGTGTCGAAATGCAGCTCCTCGCTGACACGGCCACCCAGAGTCATGGCCATGCGGTCCATCATCTGGTTGACATTCATGAGGTAGGTGTCACCACCCGCAGGAAGGTACTGAGCGTAACCCAACGCACCTTGTCCACGGGGAATGATGGACACCTTGAGCAGAGGATCAGCCCACTTGAAGTACCAGCCACAGATGGCGTGGCCAGCCTCGTGGTAAGCGACGGTACGCTTCTCCTCGGGGGAGAGCACAAGCGACTTCTTTTCCAATCCACCAATGACACGTTCAATGGCTTGCTCAAAGTGTCTCATGACGACCTTGTCCGCATTTTCACGGGCAGCTAGAAAATATGTTAGCGTTATTTGAATGTGGCATCAGGATGAGCAAAAGCTTACCAACGAGAGCTGCTTCGTTAACACAGTTGGCGATATCAGCACCAGCGAAACCAGGAGTAAGAGCGGCGAGTCTGCCCTCCAGATAGGTCAGGTTCTCGTCGGTAACAATCTTCTGCAAGTAGACACGGAAGATCTGCTTACGACCATCCATGGTAGGGCGGTCGATGGTGATGTGTCGGTCGAAACGTCCGGGACGCATCAAGGCCTTGTCAAGAACATCCGGTCGGTTGGTACCGGCCAGGACAACCACTTGCTCGGAGGTATTGAAGCCATCCATTTCAGTGAGGATCTGGTTCAGAGTGCTTTCACGCTCATCATTTCCGCCACCAACATTTGACTTGGCTCGGGACTTTCCAATGGCATCGATTTCATCAATGAAGATAATGCAGGGAGTGTTCTTGCGCGCGTTGGCGAAGAGATCACGGACACGAGAGGGACCGACACCGACGAACATCTCGACGAACTCGGAACCACTGACACTGTAGAAGGGCACGCCAGATTCACCGGCAGTGGCCTTGGCAAGCAGGGTCTTACCAGTACCGGGAGGACCAGAGAGAATAGCACCGCGGGGGATCTTGGCACCTAGCTTCTTGAACCGCTCCGGCTGCTGGAGGAAGCTGACGAATTCCATAATCTCAACCTTGGCTTCATCCATACCCGCGACATCCGCGAATTTGGTCTTGACATCGGTCTCGTGGTTGAAGCGCTTGGCACGACTCTTGCCAATGCCGAAGATTCCACTCTGGCCGCCGCCACCACCACCAGCACGTCGTGACATCCAGAAGATACCACCAAGGAACAGAAGGGTAGGAGCCAAAGACATCAAAACGCCGCCCCACGGCGTCTCATCGTGGTAGGCGACGGGAATGCGCTCATCCGAGGGAATGTCCAGTTCATACTGAGCGGCCTCGAGCTTCATCTCAAAGCTATCCACGGAACCGATACTGAAGTACACATAGGAGACGGGTTGGCCAGTGGCGTCCTGGGCCGCGGCTTCACGGTTGAGATCAACTCGAACCTTATTGCGGTTCAAGACAGTCAATTTATCCACAAGGCCCTTTTCGAGGTAGTTTGCCCGGAATTCTTGCCAAGTGATTTCCCTGCCACCACTTTCACCGGGGAAGAAGCTGCGGTAGACGTAGTATGTGACGAGAGAGGTAACCAAAAACGAGGCGGGATCGAATCGGAATTCTAGAACCTTGCCCATGTTAGGAGGCATCTTGCCCTTCTTGTCGTCCTGTTGCTTCTTCTGTTCCTGCTCTTTCTTTGGGTCCTTGTCATCCTTCTTGGGGTTCTTTTGGGGATCGGGTCTAGAAGGCTCCTCGCCCTTATTTTCAGGCTGCTGTTGCGATCCCTTTTCCGGTTGCTTCTGGTCCTTCGCATTCGTGCTATCCCTAAACATACGGATCAGGTCGTCGTGTGAGGGGTTCTTGGAGGCTTTGCCGGCTTCGAGTGCTTGCTCAGTCGTGTTGTTCCATAGCCAACGAGTCAACCTGATACGATCCATCAAGGTTGGTGTCTGGCTCGGGTCGATCCACGGCTTAACTTCAGGCGGCACTCCATTCTTCGTCATCATATCTCGAAGATGGGTGCGGTGCTCGGGTGATGAGTTGACGAAATCGAGGAAGTCATTCACCTGCTTCTCTTCAGCCTCGGTGAGGCGGGAAGCAGGCTTGGAGCCATTGTCTCCCGATGTGTTGTTCCGGTTCTTGTCATCTGGTGTCGGACCACCGGGGCTTTGCGTGGAGTAGGACCTGGCGCGGCTCGATAGGATAATGGAGGATAGTCTTGGCGGTTGCACACGCAAGGATGCGTATCCTGTGCGACTAGTGTATTCTGTGGCTTTCCTCGAAAAGCGAGCGAAATTGCCTGGCCGTCGGAGTAAAGCGGCCATAGTCGAGGGGAGGGAGCCCCGAGGGCTGCGAGGGCGGGGGTAAAGGGTAATCAATCGAATTTAGAATCGATGGATGAGTTCACAATCCATCAAGATCAGGAGTTGGAGCAGAAATTGAGCTGGGGGTTTTGAAGCTCTGGAGCAGGTCCGAGGTGACGCCCGTGAGGTTCCAGCTTCGGCTCCAAATTTTCGCCGATCCGGCTGAGTCATGCGTTATTGGAAGCACATGGAATTTAGCTTAACCCCGAGTTAACGGCGAACTATAGAGGTAATTATGTGAATTTCGAGGATTTAGGATATTAGTCGATTGGAGACCTTTCTGTACAAATTCTTTAGGAAAGTCCACCCTTGCGCCATTCGCTGCGTAATGGAAACCATCATAGATATAGGTTCAAAACAAGGTGCGTTTCAGTATACACGAAGAGGGGAGATATTGAGGGGAGATAACACCGTGAGCAAGTAATAATCCCACTTCCATGAACTCCATATAAGGATATTAATAATCACTGGGTCATCACTATCCCAGGGGGGACCACCAGGGCCAACACCCGCTTCGAAGGGAGGGAAGTTTGTGGACATGTCAGCCCAATCCCACTCAATCGTCATAGGCATCTGCCAGAGATCCTGTGGAACAAATGGCTGTTGGAATTGCGCCATGCCTGGGCTAGCAGTGCTAAATGAAGGTTGATCCGAGAACCCCACACCACCCATTTGATCAGGACTTAATATGTCTGAAAACTCTTGGCCCATGCCCGGCATGGAATGAATATTGCTCGGAAGGTCGGGAGAGATGCCACTTGTTGGCATTGGGGCCCCGGGATATGGTTTAGATGCACCGGGCGAGGGAGCCATAGGCTTAGTGAACACAGAGGGCGAGAAACCCGCGGAGTTGGATGCACCTTGTGTGCGTTTGGCAGACGGCGAAGTTGCGGACTGTTCTTCAGACTCGTCCTGTCCCGCGGGATCTTCTGGTGCATTTTTGCGTTTTTTCCTCGATTGAGACTCTTTTTCGGATTTGTCTAGGACCACCTTGGCAATTCTCTCGAATTCACCACACAGACCAAGCATACGCTTGATGCTCCCGTTGGATTCGTCGGAGACCAATGTAGACAAGAAGTTGACAACCACGTTCATTAATTTAACGTCGGATCGAGCACGAGCATCAGTAGGGTTCTGGAGGATATTGGCGAAAAGAGTAACGAGCGCAGAAACAGGATAGTAGAGAATCAGCCTGGAAGCATGGTTAGCACACAGTATAATGGGGATTGTTGGGTCGGCACCTACCAAACACAGGCGAAATCTCCTTGTGGGATATACTTGATCAAATTAATCGATGCTCTGGCAGCCGTGACGCACAAGACAGCCGAGAGGAAAACCCTTGGGTTCAAGGGTCGTGCATTCAATCCTTGGATAGCATAGTTGGATAGACGGCTGGTCCAATACCCGTGATGTACTGACATCCGGTGGATTGTGGTCAGACAATTGTAGTAGGCGAAGTGGAGAACGACGATGTGAAGGATGAGAGGAGTATGTGTTGCTAGAATTTCATTTTCGGGTCGGAAGTCGATAGGGATGCTGTCTTTCCAGTCTTCTAGCTCTTTGTCGAGATCGCCAATGGTATTCAGTAATTCACCATCGGATTGCTTCGATGCTTTGGCGGAATAAAGTCGCTTGTATACTCTGCTTTCGATGGTTGCAAATTCACACATTGACCGGAATAGGTTGAACTTGCTTCTACCATCAGAAAGAGGCACATTTCCAACATTGTCTGGTGGGTCTTCGCTCGGCAGGTCGACATTCATGTCATCGTCATCTTGCACTGGTGGCCTACCAGAGCGCAGACAGATGCTAAGGGGATGTTAGTATAGATAGAAGAACGGTTGCACAAACGTCTTACTCTTTGTCAAGGAGGTAGGCGATCCAGAACACTCTCTTCCGTTGCTCAACCTCGACTGGGTTGAGACCAAAACCAGAGCCACGTTTATGCAGACCAATACTGTGGGAAAGGCGAATGGCTGCAGCAACTAGGAAGAAAGCAGGCTGTGGGTTAGGAGTGCCTTGAAGGAAGAGTGACTAGAAACAAATTAAATAAGAACATGTCCCGAAACCAGACTAATTAACTTACCATGCCCAACAGCGCCTGCACGCTGAGTAAATCGGTGTTGCGCATTGTGAGCTCAGTCAATACTCCCATGGCATTCTTCAAGTACAACCACGCCTTTTTATCTTCTTCGTGTGGCACAAGATTGCTCATGACACGAAGACGATGAGAAATTGCCAGAACAACATTGATGCTCGCCCACCAACCTGAGCCCTCGTAAGGATCACGCGAGTATTGCCGCTCCACCAAGTGCATAAATGTCGCTTCGTGGAACAGCGGGAAGAGGCAGTTGAAGTTCTCGAAGAAGTCTTTGAACAGTGACAGAGCTTCATCTTTTGGTGGAAGAGGTTTGAAGACACGTCTTGCGAAGATGTCGCTAAAGATTTCGGGTTTCCAGTACATCCACTTGTTGTCGTCGACGTACGCTGATGAGATCATATCCTGGAAAGAAGTATCGCCGGTCTTCTCGTTGACCCATTGGATACCCTTCGGAGAGAATATAGAGAAACCTGATGAAGATCCTGTGACACATCACATCAATACACAACCCTCAAACTGGACCGTGGGGTATAAACGTACCAATATAGCGAGTCTCTCCACAGTTGTTCGTTACCAACGAACACATCATATCCGACAATGCTTCGACTTCGGTTTCTGACTTCGGCGAATCGGGAGATGTGGCAGCCGTCTGCGGGCTAGAGTGGGAATCCATACGAGGCGTAGTTTGGTGGGAACCCGGACCCTGCTGTGGTGCTACTTGGGGCGCTGGAGTTACTTGAGCCATGAACTTGTTCGAACTCTTCGCCGCATTCAAAGCATTCGTCCGATCGGCCAGTCGTTTCTCTAGCGTTCCGAGATCCGTCTTGCCGCCATCTTCTTCTGACAGAAGACCGGACAAGCGCAATAGTGACTCCATGCGGCCAAGTCGGTTTTCTAGACCTTCGATGTATTTGGCTCTGCCAGGGTCAGACTCTGCTCGTCCTATACAGGTCTCTGCATACATACCCTTTGGGTGGATTCCGCTTCTTCTCGACTTGTGTGAAAATGCATTCCGTCTTGTAGTTGATGCAGTGGGAGCACTTGGGCATTTTTCCGTCGCATTTTATCTTCTTCTTTCGGCACATATCGCATGCCTGTATCCATTCGTTCATCAGCTATGTTCTCAATACCCCATAAACAGGTACGGTCCTCACCCTCGCGATCCTCCGTCTTTTCGCGTCATTGGTTTCATCCCCCGCGGTCAATGACGAATCATCGGGGAACATCGACCCTGCGCCCTGCATGTTCGAATGGTCGTAGCCACCGAAGAGCTGTTGCTGCTGATTTGGCAGCATCTGCTTCATGTCGAAGCCCATGCCGTCGCCTTCTCCCAGGCCATCCATTTTGTGTGTGAGGGGCAACGGAAACTCCGCGGAGTGGAGGCGACAGTGGTGTTAAGTGAACGGGTGATATTTCGGAGTGCGCCTGTGTCTCGAGTAGCTTATACGGTGAAAGAGGAACGCTCTGGAATTATGGAAGCGAAGGGCGCATTCAGAGGCGTCAGAGTCTTTGCTCTCAATGAAACGTTGAAACTTTAGGTAAGAAATGACTCAACCACACGTGGGAGAGCCGAACACGGGAATCTGTGAATATGTAAGAGATCAAAGATCCAAGATCAGAGATCTCTGGTTGCCTGAAGGTTTAGTGGCATCATAGACGGGTATCCTAAAATCCGATCGCCGAGCCGTTCACTGGCGGTCCATTTCGTCCGAACCGGACAGGGGCTTTCGTACTCGCTTTGGACGCCGATCAAAGCAGTTTAGTTACTTCTATTAGCGTATGCTGTGCATACTCTACAATGCATGTTTCGGGTTTTGGACTTAGACTGTATTCGCGGGGTACGACTCCGTCTCCGAAGCAATGCAGCCCTAGAAACCCGGGGGCCTACATATCCTACATGTACGGAATGGGATGTGACATCGCTCGTCTATCCCGCGTGCCTGTGTTCAACCAGCAGGGATCGACAGTCTGGCGGAGAGGCACACGATAAGTGATGCCGGCGAAACCCGGTTCCCAGATCAGGATGGATGGTAGATAAAAGTACATTCAACGAAGAGTGGCGATCTCGTGAGGATATGTAAAACAAAGTGCATATAATACAACAAGGTCACAGGAGCAGATATGATCCTGCGACCTTGTAAATGCCAAAACCAACGCCACGCTATGCGCCCAAAATATAGCCCATTGTTGAGACCGAACGATCGAGACCAAAGTTCACGTTTCCTTCATCGGCAGGGCTGATTATCGAGTAAAGGCCGTATATAAGAGTCTCAAGTGTGTTTGTCGAGGAATTCCTTCGCTTCGTTGATCTTGGTGGCCAAGTATGGGCTGCCGCCGCGATCGGGGTGGTTGAGCAGCATGAGCTGGCGGTGGTTCTTGCGCACCTTGTCCTTGGTCAAGGTTCGTTCACTTGTATCCAGTCAGTTGTGATGCATTATGAGTCGATAGGGTCTTGGGGACATACGCAAGTTGGAGAATCAGGGAGGCTTCCCGACGGGTCATGCGCTGCTCGAATCCTCTGTTCACGCCATTAGCCGATATCCAGTATACCGTTTCCGGAATGGATTGTCCACGAACCCCTTGTAGAATGCCTTTCCGGCAGCGTTGACACCTCCGCTGGAGCGGCGGTAGGCGACCAGACCGGCACGGCCCTGTAAACATGTCAGTTTAATAATGCCGAAACGTGGTCTGTTGTACTCACCAGAAAAGCCGCGACGCCAACGCCAAGACCAACAGTCAGAATAGAGGCCATTATGTAGATTGATGAAGATGAAGGTGAGTCGATGTTTGGACGGGGAAAGGTGAAGGCGCCGCGGGATAGAAAAGTCAGCGCTCGATGCCCAAAAGGGTTTAGCGTGGT